GACAGAAGTGGATGATTGGTGTGACCTAGAACTGGGGAGTTGAGAGGAAATGGGGAGCGGCTGCTAAGTAGGTACCGAGTTCTGTCTAGTAGGATGAAAATGTTCTAAAACCGATTGTGGTGATGGTTGCACAAATGTGAAGATACTAAAAGCCATTGAATTGTACGACTTTAAATGAGTGAATTATATGGCACGTTAGTTATATGTCAATAAAGCTGGTATTTTTAAAAACCTAGAAAATTTCCAGGTATCTAGGTTCTGCTTACCAGATGCATCCTCTGCTAGACTTCCCCAAGGCTTAAGGAAGGCAGGTACCAACAAAAGCTGGGGTCACCGTCCCCTCGCCAGTGGCCTTTACCCATAACTTCACAAAGACCAACGGGCCAACCTGTTAGCTCCAGAAACAGCTTAACAGAATCGTCAGCCAGAATCCATAGCCCAAAAAGCAGGAGCCCTGGGAATAGGAGTGTGCCAAGTTCGGTTCTATGATATCATTTGGGAGGGTCACGTGTACATTTGCTTCTGGTTTGTATCTAATTTGAAAAAGCCGACATAGATCGTGTACTGTATTATTAGGCAATTTTTCCAGTTTGGAGTCTCAGTGTTGCTCCACTCCATTTGTTCAGAGGATGAACTCACTTCTCTGCTGATGCAGAACATCCTACCCCAGGTTGCTGCCCTAGGAGGGGCAGGCTTTTGCCCATGCCAACTTTCCTATTCTGTCCTCCATGCAGATGCGAGCCAGGCCACTGTGGGGGAAGAGCTCTTACCCCTTAGGGGAAGCTTCCCTCTCTCTAGCTGGCCTCCTGCGTGGTGGAGGGGGCGCAGGGGTGACTATGAGAGGGAAGGGGGCCGAGTCTTCTTCCAGGCCAGGCACCGATGGAGGGGGGCCTCCCCACGGAACAAAAGAGTTCAACAGAAGACAGCCCACATTCCTCTTTTTCTAAACACAGGCTCAAGATGTGCCGAGGGAAAGTTAAATTATGTGGCAATTTTCAAAGTCATCCACTGAAGATAAACTCTCCCTTCAAAGGAATTACTCATCTCACTCCATCATAATACCTCAGGGTCTATCACTGTTCAAATTTATTAAGCAATGACATGCAGAATGTATTGTATAAAGGACCCGTTTCATCACCCCATTCCCCAAGCTATTTTTTTTGTGTGTGTGCTAAGTCATGAGAAGTCCAACAAGTTAAAAATCAAAACAAAAACTAACAAGTACGCATGTGTGCGTGTGCACACATACACACACACAAATGGGAAAAAAATCCTTCGTGGAAGTTATTATGAGGGGGGCAGCTTCAGAAAGGAAAAACACAATCTCTGACTAATATGAAGGAGACTCCAAATTGCTCTTGGCAACAATCTCTCAGCCCCAGATTCCCCTCCCTCTATTCATCTCTGCATTTCCCAGCCAAAGGAAAATAAACTGAACAGCTCTCTCCCTGGCCCAACCTGTAGGGCTGAGCAAGGGCTGAGCAAACAAACATCCCCGTGCAATTATACACCTGTGTAATTGCTGCAAACACAGGACAGCCAGTTGGGTGCTCACCGCACTTACCAGGCTGGTAATCTCAGTATCAGGAGAAAATGCCTTTATTCAGGCACCGTGACATCAAAACGGAATGCAGTATGATCTTGTGACCCCCAAACACAACAGATTTTTAAAAGGGGGGCAGAGGGAGAAGGAAGAAGAAAAAACTGTCCTCCTGGAAGAGTCGGTATCAGTTCCAAGGAAGGAAGGCCCCAGAACATCACTCAGATGGGTTTAGCTTCAAGGCAAGAGTTAGCAGTTTACCTTCCTCACAAAAGTGAGAGTTAATTTTAGAGGTAGTGATCTTACACCTATTACACCATTCAAGATGGAAGGAGAGTTAATAGGCCAAATGGACTAGATATTTATGGTTGCTCTGTCTCAAAGATTCATCTGCCACCATTTTATTAGGACAGATATGTCAGGTCAGCTAAAATGGAGATGGACAGGAGCATCAGGAAATGGCCCTGATGTGGGGGTACAAGCAGGTGGGACAGGGTCTTTGCCATTGAACCCTAAAACGCCCTGGCAGGCTAGTATGGCCAAGAGACACGGCTTCTAGTGCTGGCTTTGCCACCAAGTCCTGGGAACACAGACAAGCCTCCCCAGTGGTCAGATGAGGGCTGGGAGTTGCAGCTCCAGCCCTGTGTGTGTGTGTGGAAAGCGCCACCCCGGCCACGGAGAAGGGGCTGATGCATCAGGACGGTGATGCTCTGGGGGCAGTTCCCAGCCCTGCTGGCCCTGCTCCAGAGAGGGGCCAGTCCTCCTGGAGGCTGCACAGCTTGTCATCTCCAGCTGGGATGTGCCAAAACTAAAAGCTCATCTCGGAACCCACAACCGTAAACTGATCACCAGAGCCACAGGAGTTCAGAAAGCTGCCTGGATACCGTGCCCACTCCACAGCGTCCTCTTGAGCCACGGCTGAGTCCTTGTGTCTGCAGCATGGGGACAGCTCATCCTTCCAACTGCCCACCCCCCTCTTCGTCCAGGCCTCCCGCCACTTCTCCTTCTCCCCTGTATTGTCTCATTAAATCCACTCAATCAAAATAAATAAATAAATCCACTCAATCCCCACTGAAGGATGTATTACTGCTATTCCCATTGACAGAGTGCAGGGACCAGGTCAGACTTCACTTACTGAAGTCCTTAGCACTTAGCGTGGTGCCTGGAATCACACATTAGATAATACAGTAGTTGTTGAATAAATGACTGATTGGTTGAGTGGAAGGAAACTAAGGTTCAAAACAGTTACTACTGTAACACTTACATATTATTTTGTGTTGTGCTAGAATTATATTGGGGGATTCCTGCCTCCCCAACTGGAGTATAAGATTCTAAAGGATGTGTGGTATAATGGGCAGCTTTGATTCCTGGCTCTATCATGGATAAGCTGGACTTAACCCCATTAAGCCTCAATTTCCTCATCTGCAAAGTGGGGCTAGTGGTTCATATCTGACAGGTGATGGCGGTTACAGGAGATAACGTGTGCCAAGCACAGTCTAGCATCTGGTCTCTGAATGTCCTATCCCCCCCTCCCTGCCCCGTAGCCTCGTAGCCTCTCTGGTTTACTCCCAGCACCACCGTGGCAGGATAGGCCTTGAGCTTTGCGCGACCTCCTGGCCTTTGGTCTTCCTCCTTCAAGGTCCTGCCCCAATACCATTTCTGATCAGAAGCCCTTCTTGACTCTCTGGCTGCTGAAATGCCTGTGCTCAGATTCCAAAGGGGCTCTCCTGGCAGTCAGTAGAGGACAGCCTACTTGCCACGTAGTTTCACTATTCTGCAAGCCTCATCTCTCTGTGTGGATGCCCCAAGGTGGGGGCTCAGGACTGAGTTTTGTCTGCATCTCCCCAAGGTCTCGGAGGTGCTTGGTGGGATCCAAATCTACCAATTTCATGACGTTCTGGAACTCAGGCTGGTGTGGCACTGGTGTCCCACGGTTCTGGGTAAGGAGCACTGGATTCAGGGGGACCCCTGGGCCCCAGTCTCTCCTCAACTGTAAAATGCAGATGATGAAGACACCTGCCCTAAAGTGTGGTAGTTTGGGAGAGTTTAGGAGAGTAGCAGACACCAGCCCCAATAGACAACACTGGCTGACCCCAGCTGTTGTAGGGGCGGGGGGATGGCTTTCTTCTCCCTTTCAGCCCAGGTTGGGCTTTAAGGACCGAGCGCCACAGCCGGGTTACTTTCCTTTCCTGGAGATCTATCCAGAGAAAGTTCCTGACCCTTCTAATCCCCCAGGACATCACAGGGTGAAGGAGTGGAGCTTAAACTTGAACCTGGCAGGGCCTTCCCCTTCCCTCCCACAAAACATTTTATCAACTCTGGAGAAAACTGCCTGATTGTTTCAACCGCTTCCTTTACATTTTCAAAATTCTACATTTAGAGGGACTGGAAGGGGTATGCCAACAGTCTGCCAACGAATCGTGGGAACGGGGCTGCCCCCGGTGCAGCCAGGCACCAGGGGTCCAAAGAAAGAGTGCAGTCGTCCCCAGCCCACCTGCCCACAGCCAGGACAACAGAAGCCAGAAACTCAGGCGGGCAACCGAACCGGATGCACCCCGGAGCCCTCAGCACAGGCACGCGGAAAACCGCCCGCACTCGGGACGCTCGGCGCGGGACTCTCCGCAGTGCTTCCGCGGCCAGTCCCGCCGCCCGCCGCCCGCCGCCCGCCGTCGCGCCCGCAGCAGGGAACCCCCGCCGGCAGGGGTGGGGGCGCACACAGCCGCTCCCGGCCATCCCGGGGGCTCCGAGACCCCCGCTGGCCTCCACAGCCGGAGGGAGTCGTCCTGCCCACCCGGCGCAGGCCGGAACGCCGGGAAGGGTCCCCCCGTCCACCCAGCTCGGGCCGGCGGTTCGAGCCCGGGGATCGCGACGCGACTCCCTCCAGCTCGCCCAGCGACTTCTGCCAGTCCAGTCCCCAGTTTCATTTCAGCCCCTGTCCGGACCTCGACTTCTGCCCCGAGTTGTCATGGCTTTTGTTTCCGCCCCAAGTTTTGCATCTGACACCGGGGAAGCCCGAGCTTTTTTGGAGGGAGGGCATTTGAACGATCCGTGTCTGTCCGCCACTCCCTTCCGGAGCGGCCCTCGCGCCTCGCTGTCCCCTCTTCTCCGCCACCGAAGGCTGCCCGCGGGGGCGGCGGGGCACGGAGCAAGCCAGGAGACCTGCCCTACGGAGTTCCAGACTCCCTCCTGCGTTCGGCCCGGAGGGACACGGCCGCGGGCCCCGCCGTCAGCCCCGGGGAGGGGGGGTGGCAGCCCCGGTGTCCCCGACACGGCACCCTCGGTCCGGCCCCGGCGCGGGTTTGAAGTTGCTGCCGTCGCCGCCACTCCTATCCGGCCGGTGGGAGCGCACGCCCGGGGGCCAGGGGGTTCCCGCAGCACCCCCCCCCCCCCCACTCCGCGCCCCGCCGTCCCATCTCGGGCCCCGCTCCCGGCCGCCCAGGCCCGGCCGCCGCACACCCACCTGGCCGCCCCGGGGGCGCCGCGCTCGTGCCCGGGCCGTGTCCTGAGCGCCGCTAGGGTCCGGGGCTGGGGATCCACGCGGCAGCGCTGCTCAGGGGAGCCTGCCGCAGCCGGCGGGAGGTTGTCATTGATTCGTGCTGGGCGAGTTAAGCCATTCCAGGAGTGGTTTTGAGAGAGCACTCCCACCCCTCCCTCCAACCAAAGTATTTGGCAGGCAGCCCCTGTCGTCCACCTGTACTGCTAAGCGCGGGACAAGGACCAACTTCACCAGCGACGCTCTGTGCTTCACTTTATAACACGCAAATGAAGCTCTTTTGTAAAGGTAAAGCAGAAATGAAAGCAAGGGTGGTGGAGGGATTCCCCCCGGCCCGGGCCTCCTCGTTGATTTATTTTTCCCTCTAATATTTCACAAAATACCTTACCACTTATCTCAAATCAGGGCAGCTTTTTATTATTGTTGTTTTACTCAATTCTGCGTGTCTTTTATTTTTAGAGGCAATTTTATTTCCATTTGCCTGAAACCTAAGTCCAATAAAATTACTAGAATTATGTTTTCTTCTCTGAGGGTCTTGAGTGTAACTTCACCAAATCAAACCCTCCATGGGGACGCATTCGAGTGGCAAATAAAAAAAGAGGAAAGTGCAGGAAGTATGAGGCTCAGAACCGCAGCTCCCTCCCCTGGTGATGTCCAGCTGGGCTTGGCCCACAGGGAGTGGGGAGGCCTGAGGTGGGGGCACCCACTGCCAGGACGCCCCTGTCACAAACATGTCATACAGGGTCTCCAGTGCTTTGTCTCCATTCTAAGACTGACTCAGAAATGCCAACCAGAGATCCAACAGTCCACATTTGGGGCCAACCACCAATCACAGAGAGGTGTGGCTCCATCACCCTCTCTCAAGCTGTTCCTTAAAGCCACACACTATACCCTTTTTGAAAATTGCCAGCTGGGGAGGCTCCTGCCCCAATTCTCCCTCTTTCCCCTGGAACCGTCTTTCACCTGGGGGGGAAATCCTCATTAACCCCTTGCTGTCTAGGCTGGCTCTCCTCAGAAACGGGGGAGGAGCCAAGGGGAGCTCTTCTCCCCTGGTGATCAGCGGCCCCCTGTGCCACAGAGAATCAGCACAAAATGAAGACCAATCAGAGTTCTGGCCCTCTGGGGCCTCTGCCACTAGTCCAAGGGCAGGCCCCTAGCCGTAAAGCACCCCAAAGCCAAAGGTGAATCCCACAGGTCGGTCAGCCCATGAAGGTCAAGAACCCCAGGAAGACAGTTCAGACTAAAATATCTCCTCCAACAGGTGCCCCCTGCCTAAAATTCCAGTGTTAGTGATTCATTCCTTCGTGGGCCACGCCCTGCAGAAAGCCTGTGCCAGGCAGGCAACATTGCTTCAGGAAGGCAGGAAGGGTCTCTCTCTGTGCTTCTAAAGCTGTAAATACCCATGGGGGGAGGGCAGGAATGAGTTGGCCAGGCCCTCCTTGCTCTGGTGGGAGGGTCATGGATGGCAGTGTGGACAGACAGAGCCAGGGAGGCACGGAGCACGAGTGCGGAGGGGTTGCAACATCAGGGAGTCAGTCACTGATGTTCAGAAGGAGAAGCACTTAATTGGGGCAGGTGGACAGTTTCCAAGATTGGGTGACTCCATAGCTTTTTATCAAAACCCAGGTATTCCCGGAACACCCAAGCCAAAGAACGAAAAGTCAAATCCCTTTGTCCACAAAGTCACTAATTAAATATCCAATCATGTGGAACTCCATACTCCACCCCCAGACCCGGTAGGTGAAAGTGCCAACACATGACCTGGATGGAGTCGGTATCAATCCAGAAGTGTTTGTCGTGCACCCATAAGGGGTTTACCTCAATGGTCTGGGTGGAGGTGGGGTGGGAGTGTGCAGAGGGGTGCCACCCTCAGAGCCTCATGTCTTGTGGGGAGATAAAGCACAGGGGTTTGTCAGTGTGGGGCAGGGTACCTGCAGCCCTGCGCAGGGTCCTTAAGGAACAACAGGGTGCTAGTTCTGCAGAGCAGATAAGGAGCCACGAGCAGATACGAAGACAGGGCTCATCGGGAAAGGGCTGTGAGAGGTGGGCCGGGCAGGTCTGGACGTTTGTGCTGCTGTGAGCAGGAGGGCATGTCAGGTGCGGGAGTGAAGGCTTGGGGAGGGGGCAGCTGGCCAGGTTTAGAAGGCTCTCCCAGGGAATACAGCATCAGGTTGGGGTCTGTGTGGTGAAAGCAGTTTATGGATGCAGCTTCAGGCTGAACGAGAGAATGCAGGGCAGGGCCTGCTTTGGAGGGAGGGAGGGAGGGAGGGAGGGAGGGAGGGAGGGAGGGAGGGAGGGAGGATTGGAGCACCTCTCTCCAACCCAGCTGGAGCTGGATGTGGGCAGAGGGGTGGTGGAGGGAGGATGCCAGGAGGGGTGGGGGAGAGTTGCGGTGCCTAGCCCAGCCTGCCCCCAGGTGGCCCCTCCTAGCAGGGCTCCAGCCCTGACCTGAAGGAGTGTCTGAGTAGGCCAGTGGGTGGTGCCAGGGCCGAGGACACTGCAGCCAAGAGCCTGGGGGGAGAGCTGGCCGCTGGCCAGCCCACCGGCTGGGTCCCTCAGTGGACAGTCAATGTCATTCCTCCCTCCTCCCTCCCCCTTAATCACTGTTTGTGTGTGCCCAGTTGGGGCACGCCCTCCGGAAGGGCTCCAGGCAAAAAGTGGGGAGCCCTACCCTACGGCCCCTCCAGCCCTGCCTCCTTGTTCTCAGTCCCTGTGCCTGGTGCCTCCTGGGAACAAGAACATAAAGGAGTCTCCGAGGGCCGGGGTGGGGGAAGGGGACTGGGGAGGCTACAAAAGCCACCCACAGAAGGGGCTCTGGGCTGGCCAGACTCTATATCTGTTACTGTGCATTTCCTTTTGGGATGTGGCTCCTTCCTAGGCCCTCTTTGGCCCCCTCCCTCTGGCTCACCCCCCTCCTCTCCCCGCTCTTTCCCACCCCACCCCTCTTCCTGGGTCAGGTCGGTCAGAGCTCTTGGAAACAGGCTGGCTTACAGACGCCCTGCTTTTCACATCTGCCTCCAAACCCACAACTCACTCTTGTTCCAGGGAGGATGAAAGCTCCTCCTTCAACCACCCAGCATGGCTCAGAAGGCTAAACAGAAGCCCAGTGAGCACATCTGCTACCGTCTTAACTTGAAACTTTAGTGGTGCCTGGCCATTAGCTGTGACGTAGGCACGGAGATGGCTTCTGAGCGAGCGTGCGCACATACAGACTGTGTGCACGTGTATAAAGAGGTAGATAAGGAGATGAACCGTGCTATCCAGAAACAGTAATAGCTAGTATCTATTGAGGGTCTACCCCACCCACTTCATCCCTGCAACCACACCTTGAGGTAGATCCTCTTATTTCCCCATGTTACTGATGAGAAAATGGGCTCAGAGAGATCTTACCACTTGTTCAAGGTCATGGGACTTGATGAATTGTAAAACTGGACATGACACCAGAGTCTTCAGAACTCTGGTGCCCCAAGGCTGCTTCTGGGGCTCAGCTCTGGCTCTTTGTCTAGCTCCTACAGCTGGTTCTCTTAGGAGCAGTTTGCTTTGCTGATGTGTGCCTCAGTTTCTCCAGCTGCTGAACAGGCAGGCTGATGACTCTTCCTGAACCATGAGGCTATTATTAGCCAGGAGGAGGCTGAGATGGGGGGGTGGACTGGTAAAAAACTCTGGAGCAAGTCTTCCCTAGAGAATTTGCACAGCACTGGGCTTGAGTATCACTCAAGCCGGAAACTCAGAGCCAATCTTGCTGCCTCCCTCTCACGCCAGCTCTGCACCCCACCCCTGCCAATCCATCCACCTGCGAGTTTATCCCCAAAATAGATCTCCAGTCCACTCTCTTCCTCCCACCTCTTCCACTACTGCCCTTGGCTGGGCCACTATCCCTCTCACTCTTGACCTCTGCAGGGACCTCCGCACTGGTCCCCCTGTTCCCACTCCCGTCCTGCTCCCTCAGTCCAGTGCCATAGGGCTGCCTGCGTAATTTTAAATGTGGGCTGGTTGCATCACAGGGCACTTAAAATGCGATCCAAACTGTTCACCATGGCCCATGAGGCTCAGCAAAATCCCTGTTCCTCTCTCTAAGCTCACCCCTGCCTCCCGCCCCATCCTCTGATAGGGTTCCTTTCCCTTCCTGCTGTGGGACTTTGCATGTGTGGATTCCTCGACCGGACACACTCTCCCTCTATGTCAGGTCTTGCAGAAACATTACCTTCTCAGACAAGTCTTTCTTGACCACCACAGACAAATTAGAAACCTCCCCCACCATCATCTATTTCAGACCCTCTCTCAAAGCACTCAGACCACTTGCATACTTTTATTTAACTGCTTGCCTACTGGATTGTTTTTTAACTGCCCCTCCCACTAGAATAGAGGCTGCTTGTGGGCAGGGACCCCATGTGTCCTTTTCACTGTGGGTACCTGGTACGCGGTAGACTCCTGGCAAATATGTGGGGGACAAAGGTTTGTTGAGAGAACCCCAGATCTGGTAAACAAGTCAAATGCATCTGGTCCTACCTCTGCCACTGCTGGGCTGTGTGCCCGTGGGGATGTCACCCGGCCTCCCAGGTCCTCAGCTTCATCCTCTGTAAGTGGGGACAATTGATGAGATGAGAGGATGACCCAGAACTTTCCCAGGTCTGGTGCTCTGCAGTTGGGTTGGCCTTCATCCTCCAAGAACTTGCAAGTGCCGATAAATGGACGGAAAGAGAATCCCGGCCATGCTATACTTTGGATGGCTTCGAGAAGGATTTGCCTCTCTTGTCTGTCCTGCTGACGTATTTTAGAGAAGTCAGCTTGTGAGGACTTTGCATGCTCAGGGCTATGACTGGCCACCACCCCCACCACACACGCCACCACACAAGCATGGAAACTGGGGCTTGTCCAGAGCAAGCAGTTACCTAGGCGAGAACCAGCACCAAGTCAGGACTGATCTTCCGGGGGGGGGGGGGGGGGCAGGGAGGGGCATTCCAACCCAGCAGCCGTGTGCCCGCAGCGCACCAGGTCTGAGACCCCACCTCCAATGATGTCAACCTCTACACATGCGATGCTTTAACTTTCTGTGGCTTTCTTAAACCTCTTACCCTTCTTGGCCTTCACAACAACCCTGGAGGGCAGACCCCGAGAAGGGATTTTTGTTCCCACTTTGCGGATGAGGAAACTGAGACCCAGATTGAAAAAGTGAGTGAGTGGCAGAATGGAGACCTTTGAAATCAAAGAAGAAAAACTCTAGTTTTCCTTCTATATACATATGGACATACATTTCTTTCTCTCTCTATATATGGGTATACATTTTTAAGAGATTATGACTATATATGAAATATATTTGAAAAAATATACATGAAATTCTCCCCGATTAGAGAAAATCTGTGAAACAGAGGGGAGCAGGCCATTCATAATCACAGCATCCTAGATGGGAGAGCATCTGTCACATTATAGCAGGTTAGGGCTGTTAGTCCTAATCGTAGGGTTCCTCCCCACACCTCCCACCCCCGACCCGAGTCAACACAGGTTCCATCTAACACCCCACCTTGTGTTTCTTAGGTGCTCCACAAATGTTTAATTAAATTTGGAGGAAAACAGAGAGAAAACTCAACCCATCTGGCTGGAGCAAGAGGATGGCTGTTGGCGGTACGCCAGCCTCTGCCTACGTGGCCCTGGAGCTTCCCTGTTCTGAGGGCAAGCCAAGCCCTCACTATCTCGAGCTCCCTGTTTGTACTATTAGCAGGAGGGACTTTACTGTAACCAGAGGCTCTACCACTTTGATCCGCAGACCAGATTTCACTGAAATGTATTAAAATGCTGATTTGAATAACAACACCAAGATCAGAGAAGGAGCCCCCGACGGAATCGGAGCTATGCATTAACAGCCCTTCCTAGGGTCACAAAGGTTATCCAGATCTGCTGGTTGCCAATGCCACACACACATTCTCCCACCATGTTTTCTGGGCGGAGGGGGCAGACCCGGTCATCCAGAACCTACTGGCAGTTTGCCAAACTCCTGGACCAAACTCTTCCACTTCTTCAAGCACACAGAGGTGATCCAGGGAAGCGGAGCTCTGTGGCCAGCGACCCCATCCTGTGGGAGCTGGAAGGTGAGAGTGGGGCCCAGAGGGGAGGCCCGCATACTTGGAGCTGCATCCCACTTCTCAGGTGTGCTGAGAAACCAGCCAGAGCTTGTCCTGACCCCGGGCCCTCTGAGGAGAGGTGCTGGCTGAGTACAGTGTGCCCGAAGTGCGCTCTTGGGGGACGTACCCCCCACCTGGCTGGGCATCAGGGAAGGGCTCAGAGTCTGGCTGCCCCTACAAGAGACAGGGTCCCAGCCCCCCGCTGCTCACAGCCTGAGGGCCCCAGGGCTGCCAGGGCCTCGCCCTCCTCCCGGGTTGTACTGACACAGTCAGACGCCCACAGCAGGAGGAGGGGAAAGTGCCAAGAGCTTGGGCTCCCCTGGCCAGGGCTCTGGGTGACTGGGAAGGTTGCCTCAGAGCTGGGAGCCTAGGGGAGGAGGAGGGCTCAGCCAGGACCTGGCCAAGGGGTCAGTGGGGGAAAGGGAGCAGCTCTACAGGGGCCAGGGCAGGCAGGTTCCTCCACCCTCCTCCTTCCCTTCCTCCCTCTCTCCCTTCCTTCCTTCTTTCCCTTCCTCCTTCCCTCCCTCCCCTCTTCCCTTCCTCTGCCAGGTCTGTGGCGACTGCCTGTCTGTGGCCCCGCTACTCCAGGCTTTGGCTAGAAAGTGGTGAACACATCCACATCTGCCTGTCCTCATGGAGCTGACCTTCTAGCGGGGAAAGAACAACCA